CTCTGTTCCTGTTACTGGATCTCGCAGGCTGTCACTGCTTTGCTTATTCACTCAAGTGGCAGACCGGATTGGAAGCCGCCATAAAATGACAGCTTACTCTTTAGCGCCGAGCTCGGGAGCTTCCCTCTTCACTGTTGGGGAGTTGCCTTCCCCCCTCTGCAGCTCGAGGATCTCCACGTTGACACGAACCTCTCCGGGGTTCATGTATCCCTGGGGGATCGCTCCTGACGCCAGAAAAGGTGTTCGAAGCCTGCACCAGACTTCTTCACCTCCGATCTCCTGTCCTCTCACTTGAGACTCCATACATTACATCTTTAAACGATAATTCTCACAACACTCTTTTTCCTTAATTGCACCTTGAGCTTTCGTGAAATGATCTGCAATATTATGTTCAGTCATGCAGTGTTCTAACTGAATTAATTTATTTTGAACACGTTGTTTAACATTCAAATATCTCAAATCAGTATGTTTAGGCCTTGTTTTAACAGCTAAATTAGTAGCCATACTAATTGCAGATTGATTATCTTCATAAACAAACAGATCATGTGCAGTAATTCCAATATCCTTCAACAATTGTTTATAATATATCAATTCTGTACACATTAATGATAAACATGAGAATTCTGCTTCCATGGTGGATAAACTAATATGTTGTTGCTTAATAGACTTCCATCCTATTAAAGCATTACCCAACATCACCACTATACCTGATGTTGACTTACGAGTCATTATATCAGTAGCAAAACTTGCATCAGCATATGCAGTTAACACTGATTCATTACTTGATTCTTAATATGAATAATTGATTGTGTGTTTTAAAAACCTAATTATTCGCTTAGCGGCTTGCCAATGCCTTTCATTTGGTTCAGCATTTATACCTAGCCAATTGGTTTACACCAGTGGTTCCCAAAGTGGGCAGTACCGCCCCCTGGGGGGCGCTAAGAGGCAAGAGGGCCGGCAGGGGTTTTTTAAGAGGCATCAGGGGTGTTCGAGGTGCCGGCTCTGCAAGCTTACTGACTGCCGGCCACGCAGCCCATTGATTGTTTCATCGTTCTGTAGCTGGCACCTCGAATGCGGAACTTGCGTGGCGAACCTTGCCAAGCCTGGGGGGGGGGGGGGGGGGGGAGGTGGCGGAAAGGTGGTGCCTTAGCTTGCAGGCTGCTTCTCCGGTGGCGGAGGCATGCCAGAAGGCCCAAAAGCAAAATCCTCCCAAGCATGCAGTGGAAGGGGTGGGTGATCCAGCATTAGGGCCCCCTTCCCCAGAGGAGAAAAAGGGAGAGTGCAGCGCCCGCCTGGCCTCCGCCTCTCCAGCCAGCTGGGCTTGCGTGCAGGATGCGGGTGGGTGCAGCTGCAGCTCTCCAAGGCGTGGCTCAGTTTGGTTGGACTCTACATGGCTGGCCCGGATCTAGAACCTAGCCTCCCTCTGCAGCCAGTTCTTTTGACCCAGCTCTGCGCTTGCTTGCTTGTTTGCTTGCTTTCCAAGTGATCGCTCCCTCTGCCTCCCCTCCGCTGGGCTGCTTCTGCACGCCTTCCTCCTCCTGAGCAGAGCATAAAGATGGGCGGAGTGTTTCCCTGAAGTTGGGAGTCTGAGCGTGTGCAGAGCACCTCCCCTTCCTTGGCTCGATGGAAGTGGACCTTGGGTCACAATAAAGAGGGTGAAGTCAGCCGCATCACTGCCCCGGGGAGGTTGGCATGGCAAAATTGGATGCCAAAGAAAGAACTGGTGCAGGGGGCTGGAGAAGGGGCAGAGGGGCAGCTGCATTAAGGAGCAGGAAGATCTTAGCCATGGTTTATTGACTAGCCAGAATCAAACAGCATGCTAAACTCTAAACCAGAATGGCTGGGTTGATGTATTCAGCCCGTGTTTCTCAACCTTGGCAACTTGTATGGATTTCAGTTCCCACTCTGGTTTTGCTCTACTTTCCCAAAGTGCCACTGCTGTCTCATTCTTTCTGTCTGTCTGTCTGTCCATCCATCCGCCCATCCATCCGTCCATCCATCCATCCAAAAGGTCTGCCAGTCTGCCTGCTGTCCTGCCTATCTACCTACCTGCCTGTCTGCCTGCCTTCTTTCAGGTCTACCTATCTACCTACCTACATACCTACTAATATAGATCTATCTATCTATCCATCCATCCAAAAGATCTGTCTGTCTGCCTGCTTGCCTGCCTGTCTTTCTGTCTACCTACCTATATGTCTACCAATATAGATCTATCTAGCTATCTACCTACCAACCTACGTACCTACTCTATCTACCTACCTACCTGCCTATCCCTACATTCATCCAAAAGGTCTGCCTGCCTGCCTGCCTACCTACCTATTTACCTACCTACCTGTCTGTCTGTCTGTCTCTGTCTCTCCATCCATCCATCCATCCATCCATCCATCCATGTTCAAAGCGCCAGCCCTGCAGGCACATCGGGAAAGAAGAGCAAAGCCAGCCTGGGAGGGAGGGGGAGAGAGAGAGACCTGATGCATCAGATTGAAATCAGGCCTAGTTTAAACTAAGGCCCTTTTCCACATTGAAAAATCTTTGGCTTCTATTAAAGGCTTTGTGGATGAAACATGGTCAAGACTATCAGGAAGCTCTCACATTTTGTTGAGGCTTTAAACAGGATCCATTGGACCACATCTCCACCCTAAAAAAATACTTTTCCCCAATGTATTATAGGCAAAACCAAAATGTACTGATAAATTACAAGGAGAACACACACACACACACACACACACACACACACACACACACACACACA